CACAAACTTGTTGTGGATCCTAAGAAGAAGCCGGTTAGGCAAAATAAAAGAAATCACAGCGAGGAAAGGTCTCAGGCGGCTGCTGCCGAGGTCAAGAAGATGATGGATGCCGGGTTCATTCGGCAATTCTACTACCCGGATTGGGTAGCCAATGTCGTTCTGGTAAAAAAGTCGAATGGTACCTAGAGGATGTGTGTTGATTACACAGATCTGAACAAGGCGTGTCCGAAGGATAGTTATCCACTTCCAAAGATCGACAGTGTGGTCGACTCTACAGCCGGTCATGCCTTGATGAGCCTCATGGACGCTTACTCAGGCTTCCATCAGATACCCTTGTGGAAAAAAAATCAAGAAAAGACGGCGATTGTGTTATACGGTGATGCCATTTGGGTTGAAGAATGCGCCTACTACCTTCCAACGTATGATTAATACCGTCTTCATTAATCAAATTGGGAGGAACGTAGAGGCGTACATTGATGACATGATAGTCAGATCCAAGCAGCAGGCGGATCACCTTGTTGACCTCCGAGAAACCTTCACCACCCTCAGGCGGAATAAGGACATGCTTAATCCCAAGAAGTGTGTCTTTGGTGTTGAGTCTGGGAAGTTTCTCGGATTTTTGATTGATTAAAGGGGAATAGAAGCTAATCCGTAAAAAGTACAGGCGGTTATCGACATGAAGTCACCCCGTACTATCAAGGAAGTACAAAATTTAACCGGTTGCCTGGCGGCGTTGGGGAGATTCCTCAGCCGGTCAGATGACAAATGCCTCTACTTCTTCCAAGCAATCAAATAGAAGACAAGATTTGAATGGGGGGAAAATGCTGAGGCGGCATTCCAAAAGTTGAAAGAGCACCTTCACTCCTTACCCCGGCTGGTCAGTCCTTTAGCTGGGGAGGTTCTCTACATGTACTTGGCCATCTCAGATCACGCCCTCAGTGCCGTTCTCCTAGCTGAAAGAGACGGTAATCAGCTCCAAGTGTACTTCATTAGCCATGTGCTTAGAAATGCTGAATTGCGGTACCCCTTGGTTGAAAAATTTGGCCTTGCCCTTTTTATGGCCATAAAGAAGTTGAAACCATACTTCTTGGCACATCCAGTTGTAGTCTACACAGACCAACCCCTCAAGCGGCCAATGACAACCCTAGAGTCGTCCGGTAGAATGCTCAAATGGGCTATTGAGATGCAAAGCTTGGAAATAGCCTTCGAGCCGAGAAAAGCAGTGAAGGGTCAAGCGTTTGCTGACTTCATTGTCGAAATGACTAGGCTAGATCAGCCGGAAAACATTGATCAGGTTTGGAAGGTATACGTCGACGGGAGCTCTACTATGAACGGTAGTGGTGCAGGCGTAATTTGCAAGTCTCCGAAAGGGGATACATATGAATATGCACTACGGTTCAAGTTTCAAGCCTCAAACAATGAGGCGGAGTATGAGGCCCTGCTAGCCGGAATCCGCATGTGTAAGGCAGCAGGGGCACGGAAAGTTGACGCCTGCTCTGATTCTCAGTTGATCGTCAGCCAATACCATGGTGACTATGAGGCTACCCATCTGGAAATGATCAAATACCTTCGGGTGGTCAAAGATGAGGCCGGGACACTTGACGAATTTAACTTGAGTCAAGTGCCCAGATCATAAAACAACCAGGCGGATGCTCTATCAAAATTGGCATCATCCGCCTCTTGTGATGCGCCTCGGTCTATCTTCTGGAAAGTCATGGAAAAGAGAAGTATTGAGAATGACCCCATTAGAGTTCTTAACCAAAGCTCAGCCTGGATGGATGCCATCCGGGCTTATTTGGTAGACGACACTCTTCCGGATGCCCCTTCAGAAGCGGATGCTCTGAAAAAGAAGGCAAGTTTTGAGATCCATCAAGGAGAACTCTTCAGGAAGGGGTACCTCCAGCCGTGGTTGATGTGTGTAACCCTTGAGAAGGGGAAAGAGGTGCTAGAGGATCTACACACAGGTTTTTATGCTTCACACATAGGCGGCAGAACTCTAGCAAAGAGGGTCAGGCGGCAGGGATACTTCTGGCGTACCCTTGAGGCAGACGCCATGGAAATGGTGAAGAAGTGTGATAAGTGCCAAAGATTTGGTCCGCTCAAACACCGTCGGCTACTGACTTGACGGCCATCTACAGCCCGGTTCCATTTGCAAAGTGGGGCATGGACATCTTAGGTCCTTATACGCCTGCTATAGGCGGACGAAGATACATTCTGGTGGCTGTAGATTACTTCACCAAATGGGTAGAGGCAGAGGCGGTCAAAGGCATTAAGACAAAGGACGTCATCTCCTTCATTTGGAGAAACATCATCACCCGGTTTGAGGTTCCTATGTCTATGGTTTTTGAACATGGTCCTCAGTTTGAGACGCCTACCCTCAAGAACTGGTTGGGAGATCAAGGGATCTCACACTGTTTCGCATCAGTCGTTCGTCCCCAAGCAAACGGTCAAGTTGAGACTTTCAACAAACTAATCTCAGACGGTATAAAGAAGAAAATTGAAAGGGCTGGCGGTCTTTGGGCGGATGAATTACCTCACGTCCTTTGGGCCATCAGAACAACTGAAAAAGGGGCAACCGGTGAAACCCCATTCCTCATGACATACGGCACTGAAGGCGTCCTGCCTATCGAACTTCATGAGCCAACACTCCGCGTCATGCTCTATGACGAAGAGGCAAATTGGGAGGCCATGCGATTGGCATTGGATTCACTCCCGGAACACAGGGGCAATGCCGCCTTGCGTCATGAGATATACCGCCTGAGAATGACTAGAGCCTACAACAAAAGAGTGCACAAACGGCCCTTGAAAGTAAGGGATTTTGTGCTACGAAAAATGGAGGCAGCCGGCAGAGCCAATGAGCAAGGGAAGCTAACTCCTAATTAAGAAGGTCCCTACCGGATTTTTGAAGAAGTTAGAGGCGGCACCTACCGCCTAGAAACTCCAGACGGCAAGCAGCTAGCCAGAACTTGGAGTGTAGATAACTTGAAAAAGTACTACTTCTGAGATTTGTAATTTTTTGTAAATAAAGTATTAATGAAAAAGTTCTTTATTAATTTCTGTTTTGTACAAAGTCCCGACTGTGTACTACACAACCGGGCAAATTTTGAGGCGAAAAGCCAGATTCCCTTAATTATTGTATATTATAGCCTCATTTGTGCAAATGCACAACCGGGCAAATCTTGAGGCCAAAGGCTAGATTTTATCTTAACCAACCACCTGCTCCAACATGAGCAGGCATCCAGCGACGCCCCTTTGGGTGAAATCGTCGAAGAGAACATCTCCCATTTGGGTGGTACATTGTTCTACCAATCATGTACAAACGACTAAAAACTAATTTTCCAGGTTAAAACAGTCGCTTGAATATGCAATTGAAATCGAGATACCTCATGTGATTCTTAAGTGACATAGACGGTTCCCAAAATCTCAATCAAAGTTACATGGCTCTTATCCAATGGCATCACAGTCGGTCTCTCGTCTACCACTCTTCACTTGAGAAGAATGTAAAGGTTGAGATGCGGCTTCATGACGCTACAAAGTAGTACAAGCGGCCGCTCAAGGCACTCAGCTAGTTATCAACCCAAGTTTATTAAAATCGACTTTGACATCACCGCATGTCGCCCCAAAGTGGCAAAGTCGGTATTTAGGGTCTAGATCAGGTAAAATCGGTCCTCGCCCTAAGGTACTACAGCCGGTCAAGGGCCGCTTCTTACTTATTAAACCTAAAAATGATTACCCAAGGGTAACAAACAGTCGGTATACGCGATCACCGACTGCTATTCCTACTTGGCCAATATTCAGCCTCTTTCAAAATGGTCAAAGACCGCCTGTTTATTTCCCGGATGCTCGTTTGGACGGCTACATGCTTAGGGAAGGGGCAACTACCCAGCATGCAACCGTCCAGGGGCAGGTGAAGCTCATACATCTGGCATACCACATGCACAGTAGAAATGCAAAAACTGAAAATTGAAGCAAGTTGAAGCAAAGCGGCGAAATGTATAAATTGAAGCATAAATGTATAAATTGAAGCAAACTGAAATTTTGATTAAAAATAAAGCCGACTCAGCCGGAAAATGTATAAATTGGCTTATAGCCAAAAGAAATTGTTAGCCGGACCTATGTCTTGGGAAAAAAGAGATACATCAAAATACACGGCACGCAGGCCGGAGAATTAAACTTACAAAGCTCAAGATTTAGCCGGATCCTTGGCGGCGGCTTCAGAAGCAGAGGGGGAAGGGTCTCTTCCTCTTCATTTTCAGCTCGGGCATCTTCATCCCCGTCTGCACCCATCTCCGCATGCATAGCTTCGATCTCCTTCCGAGCCCATACTTCATAAGGCAGTATAATAGGGCCAGGTTCTCCTGCAACCTACGTTTTTTAAAATGGGTGCTTAGCCCAGATGTAGATAAGAACGCCTCATCTCACAAGAACTCGTGTTTGGACACCTAATTCTTGGGCACACTTATCAGTTCACCGGTTGAGAGGGCGGTTTTGGTGAGTTCAAAGAACCTCGTCTCTATTATCCTCTCATAGTCCTCATCCGGGACTCACTACTACATTTTTTACCTATTGCAACCCTCATTTCCGTTACATTAGGCGTCAAAATCCGTGGCATTAGGCCTAATGCAACGACCATGTACCGTGACATCTGATGGCGTTGCAGTAGGTCTAATGCAACGGCATATGACACCTAATGCCACGGCATCAATGATCTATTGCATTAGATCAACACCTGATGCAGCGGCAACATTATTGCCGTGGCATTAGCTATAATATCTAATGCCACGGTTTCCTATACCTAATGACGCAGTTCCCTATACCCTAATGCAATAATAATAATAATAATAATAATAATAATAATAATAATAATAATAATAATAATAATAATAATAATAATAATAATAATAATAATAATAATAATAATAATAATAATAATAATAATAATAATAATAACAACAACAACAACAACAACAACAACAACAACAATAATTAAGACGATTAAATTGGAATTTCATTAATATAAATTGAAGGTTTGTACATTATTGCTCTTAAAGGGAAGAGTTACAATATCAAATTTCACTAATTAAATTAATTGAGAAAAAAAAAAAAAAAAAAAAAAAAAAAAAAATCCTATCAAAGCTAAATCACTGTTCCCAAATACAATGTTTTCAACATTTGTTTGGCTGCTACAACATATACTACAAAAACCAAAATCTATCTTGAAGCCGGAGAGTGATGTTTTGTAGCCGGAGAGATAGTTGTCATCGTCTGCAAGGCAGCAAGTCAGCAAAATTACAGCAGGGGCAGCAGCAACATTATAAAGCAGAGGCAGTAGCAACATTATAGAGTAGATATAGTAGCAGATTATATAGTAGAAACGACAACATCAATGTACAAGGTAAAAGGAATAGCAGCAAGCACCACCCAAACAACATAACAATTTAACAACAGCGGTTTAAACCAATAACATGGCACTACAACTAAAAATACCCTTGCTTCGTATAAGGTAAATCCGAGGTAATCCCAATACACCTAAAATTTTTATCTAAAACTATTAATCTAAATAGAGATATTCAAGAAAAGAAAAAAAATCAACTAAATTCTAGTATAATTACAAGATAGAAATTTAGTAAAGGAAAATTTAGTTTGGAATCAAGAGTAAAAACTAAGCAAGAACTCACAAGGGGTTAGAGATATACATATATAGAACAAACCTGCAATGCAATAAAAAAAATAAAATAAATAAATAAATAAAAAAACAGTATTCATTCAAATTTGCAGTGTTACCAGTGAATATATGTTAATGACAACATCTATATCTTATTAAATTTCTTTCAGGGTACGTACAAATGAATAAGCAAATGTCATATTTTCATGGAGTAGCTGAGGTGGAATTGAGCCAGAGAGTTGATATCTTCCAAAGTGACCGACAAAGCGGCAATCAATAGACAAACAACAAGAAATTGAAAATTAAAAGATTGAAAGAGGGCAATACAATAATGGTGAAATTCGATAAAGAATTCAAGAAATTTTCAAATCAAAAAATAAATGCGTCAGACATACAAGTGCTTACAACTATGCAGCATATCAAGACCTGGTTTAGTGCCATTTGAGACATGTAATGTTCCAGTAAGCTTGTTTTCAGCAAGATCCAGCCAATAAAGCTTAGAAAGATTACCAATTGAACTTGGTATTGACCCGCTTAAACTATTAGAATTCAACGATCTGCAGAACACCAAAATGCAGAATTCAGACCATTATTTTCTTAAAAAAAATGAAAATCGGAGAAGGAAAGGATTGTCAAGCCACAGAGAGCACAAAGCCAAAAACAAATTGAACAAGCTACAGTAGCTAGGAGACCAATCTATTTGCATGCCAATCAATATTAAGATCTCAAAAATTCAAATGGTAAATAAATAAAAGACAACATAATACAAAAGAAATATACAAATAAGAAATACACAAGCAGCAAACAACACGAATAACCATCATGTGGCTTTGGCTTATATAACAAAATTGAAATAAAAAAATAAATAAAGCTGGCCAAATACATCTCTGCCACTAAATGTCAAAATAAAATATGTGTGTGTTTGGAGAGGAGGGAGGTAATTGAGATTGGTTAAATGTATCTTCACATGTAGTTTAGGACACAAGCTTTTGAACCCTCGTTCATCTAGAACTCACAACACCCTTCCCAAATCAATTAATGTAATTTTCAAAGATCAGAGCATTAAGAAAAGCAAAGATAAATATTGAATTATGTCAAAACTTCCCTAAAATGCAGGTTCTATGTCACCCCATTCAATGTATGCCTGAAAATAAATCTTACTTGGATTAAGCAAGGACCTTGATCACATTCCATTTAATTTGCATTCTAATGGCATTCACAACGTTAGGTTCATTTAAAATTCTTACAAATTTTCCAAGAGATTTGCATTTTAACAAATACTATTTCAGAGGATGCGTCCAATAGAAGCAGATTTCAGAATATACCATTGTTAGACAGGAATCTCTTTCATTACATTCATCATTAAATCATTTTCATCTTCAAGTGTCATGTTCTCATACGGAATTTCTTTCAAGACCCCAATCCCATTGCACCCCATTCTCCAAACACATACTTCATCTTTTCCAAATTGTAATATACTAATAAGTAGTAACCATGCTCATTTCCGAAGCATCAATATACTATTTTGCTCTATCTCACCCAAACGAAACGCAATGCCCTTAACCAATTCCAACATGAATCGTCTATAAGCACCAATTACTAGACATTCTAACACCAACTATAGTAATCTACTGTCATCATTACCTATACCATAACATTTGCATTACCATAACCAACAAAACAACCAAAAGCACACTTATTTGCAAGTTAAAAATCTACCAATTTTCCAATAATCAAACCAAATACTAACAATATGATCAAATATTTATAACAAAAACTACTAAAAATCAGAAATTAAAGATAATACAAGGAACCTGGCAAGAAAAGAAAGGCGAGAAACCCAAACGAAAGAAATTAATCTGACAGTTCTCGAGGAATTAAACTGTTTTACAAACGAAAGAAATAGAGGTAGAAATGCAATAGAAATAGCGATTATACCTGACTCCATTATTGAGCTACCAAGCGACCAAGAACACCAGGTCCAACAATTAGCAAATCACTCTCACCAACTACCACAGACAATGATGATGTTCCTGATTAACATTAAATTGTCAATTGATTGAATATCCCTAAGTGTATAATTGTCAAAATTGGAACAATAATTGAAACAGGGGAGAAAGTAGCGAGAAAGAAGAAAAAGGAGAGATAAAGAGAGAAGGCTTACTCAAAGATCAGGGCACGAAGCCGGAGTTCGAGCGACGTTAGTTCAGCAACTCTCCACCACCGCCATCAATTACAAATCAAAACTCACCATCGCTGCTTTCCACCACCGCCAACAGTTACAAATGGAAACCCTAGAAATCGAAAAAAAAAATCAAAAATTTGAACTAGTAATTATGCAAAGGAACCCTAAATTTGACATTTAAAGAGGAAAGTTTAAAGAAGCTTATACCATGAACACCAATCAAAACCCTAAAAATCGAACCGCAACGTCGTTATCACTCGCGACCATCATCACCACCATGACCATCAGTGAATGAGGAGGGAGAAGAAAGAGAGAGAATTTAATTTTGTGAGCGACGGTGGTTGTGGATGTGGTTACGGCTGCGGTGATGGTTGCCTTCGTCTTTGAGGAAGAGAATAGGGAGAAGGAGAGAAAGAGAGAGGAGAGAGAATTGAGGTGGTGAGATCTGAGAAGAGAGTGAACTTTAAGCGCATTTTCATACGGAGTGAACTGTCGTGGCAATAGCCTTTCAGGTCGTTGTATTAGTACACCTAATGCAATAGCTTCTTGAAGCCGTTACGGTAGCTCCACCTTTTGATGTACAAAGTTTATGTCGTTGTATTAGGTTTATCTAATGCAACGGCAATAAAATGAGTCGTTGCACTAGCTCTTTTTAGCCGTTGCATTTGATTAAAAATGTAGTAGTGATTCGGGGCATCTTACATTTTTGCCCAAGGAGCTCAGGCTTCCGGTTGTAAGTCCTGAACTCACGGTTCTCCTCTTTGATGGGAGAAAAAACCAGATAAAACCAGTTCTTCCAGTCTGACCACTTAGACGGTTTATCCAACGTCATCAAGTACTGGGGATAAGTGGTCAGAGTATACCAAGCTCTCCACCCGCCTGGGCTCTGGCTTAAATAGTGCATGTGGGCGAAGGCCTCCCAACCGGGGTTTAGGCCCTGTATCTCGCAGGCGACAATGTAACCCAAAATGTTAACCCAAGAATTAGGGGTTAACTGCCATATACCCAGACCATATTCTCTTAAGATGGCCTTTTATGGTGTCAAGAAGAGGGAAGCGGAGGCCGGCTAGAAAGGCCGCCTCATAGCAGCCAAAATACCCGTTTGCATTGCGCTGGTCGTCTTCCCGGGCAATTGTTCCCATCTCAGGCGGCACTCAAATTTTGTACCCCCCTCCTAGAGGCCACATGAGTACAAAATTTCCCAAGTTCCTCTCCATGCTGGCCTGGTCTTTGGCTGAGACTTGGATGAGGAAGGGATCACCCTTATTATTCCAGGTGGGTCTCTCCTCCTCCTCGCTATTCCTAGGGGCCACATGAGTACAAAATTTCCCAAGTTCCTCTCCATGCTGGCCCGGTCTTTGGCTAAGACTTGGATGAGGGGGGATCACCCTTATTATTCCAGGTGGGTCTCTCCTCCTCCTCGCTATCTACAACTGGTGTAAGATAGCTGCTGCTACTGCCTTCAGAGTCTGATGTAGAGGCGGTTTCTTTGCTGCTCTCATCACTAGAGGATTTTTCCTCCTCCTCAGCTCCAGAGATAGAGGCGGCATCCTCGCCGCCTCCATTATCGAACCCTTGGATTCCATCACTGGGGGTGCTTGGGGTACCTCTTGGGGATTCCCTTGTCATCTCAGCCTAGTTTGTTTCAAGCGGCAACTCTTCGGAGCTTTCTCCTATGTACTCCGGATCTACAGCCGTTTTTCTAGTACGAGCCATTGTGTCCTGCACAGAGACAGAAACGATCGGATTGGGAGATGAACAAGGGGAATCCCAGTACCCAGAGGCGGCTCCCTGAGTCTTAGACTCAGCCTTACCAGGGGACCGGTTGACCACTAAATCGTGGTGTGCCAGGTGTGTGGTTGGTGAGTCCATTTACTTTTAAAGCCAAAGAAAGAAAAAAGAAAACCAGAAACAAAATACATGAAAGAGCTGAAGGGGGTAGAGACGGTACCTTAAAAGTAAGCTGAAAGATTAAACAGTGTTGACCGGCTGGTAAAGCAGATGTAATTCAATGGATGGCTTGCTAAAGGTACATGTGTTTGACCAACCGTATGTATCCTCTGAGAAGAGCAAGTATTTTGAAGCCTGAACTAGCTAGAGCACAAACGGTAAATCTGTGTGTGTCTTTGGAAATAATGGCGATTGCTCATAAACCCCTTAAGTGGTGCTAACCGGCTATCTCAGACGAAAAACGGATGAGTAGGGAGAAGGCAGACGGTTGTATAAGCGACGTTAGCCGGAATCAGAGCTTTCTCTTTTTCTCTCAAGAAAATTCTCTCAAAATTTGCAAAAGTGTGGAATGAGAGGAGGGGGATTTCTATTTATAAAGAAACTCAGAAGGCAAACCGTCGCCTCCTTATTTCAAATTTGAATTAAAAAAATGGAGGGAAGGAGACGAACCGTCGCCTTCCCAGAGCATGACACCTGTCACAGGTGCCACGTGGCAAGCCACGTCACACTTTTGAGGGGCAAATGTTTGGGGTAAAATTACCCATGCCACGTGGCCTAATGGGGTGCTGACACGTGTTAGCCCCAGAGAGGCCCAATGGGATCCACTCTCCTGCTGACACGTGGCACCGTAACCCTAATAGGGGAACTGATCTCCTTCTACTGTAAATAGAGGAAAGTCCTCATTTATTGATATATTCTTGCACAGTCATAAATACATACACAATTACCGAGCAATATTAATTGCAGAATCTCCCGGAATACGAGAGACTATTTACTTTCCGCATTCTTACTCACTCAGACGTACTCTAACTTGATCGTCGGAGGCGGAACTCCAACCAACCGGAGTCTCCATGCTTTTGCAGGTACAGGCGATCAGCTACCAATTCTAGTGTTGTAACTCTCCCGTAGGACACATCAAAAAACATCGAAACAAGCCCAGATAATTAATAAACGTTTAGCCCCAAAATATATTTTACTTTTATAAAACTTAACAATTAAAATACTTTACCCCATTAAAATAGTTAATTAGAATACTTGAGCCCTTAAAAATGCATATTATAAATACTTAAATAATTTATAAAAATACGTAAAATACGAGGTATTACAACATACGCTTGGACTTGACGTATTTAAAATCAACGTTCAATGTTTTGATCTAAACTATAATGTATTTACAGGCGTTCTTGGAACTTTGACCCAATCTATCTTATGGTTTGATTTCGTGCTTAAGGTGTGACCCAATAGGTTCAGTTAAGAGTAAGTTGTAAAACTAAATTTATTATTCTCACTAATTGAAAGTGGCCTATAGCCAGGTATTTTGATCACTTGACTTCAAAACTCCGTAATTAACTAAACAATCTATTGTAATAATACACTTGACTGAAGGACACAACTCTTTCATGATGTTCCTTACTTCTTTAGCCTCGCCACCAAAAACCCATCCTTTCCTTACCCCGCAAACTTCCCCATCCCCTTCCCTAGGGATGAAAGTTCAGTTTGCGGTGTGGTTTATAGCCCAAACCGAAACCAAACCACATTAATTCGATTTTGGGATTTTTCAAACCACACCGCACCATATTATTAACCAAACCACACCGTTTTAAATTCGTTTTTCAAAAGAAAATCGAACCACACCGAAATTTTTCATCCTCTTCCTTTTTGCTCTATCTAACTGGTCATTCACTCCAACATCGCCCATATTGGTTGACATTCTAGGACATAAAAAAATACAAGTTTTATTATTTTTTGGCTCTATATATGTAGAGTAGAAATTAGTATTGGGCTAAGCTATAATTTGGATATGGGTCATAATTCGGTTTGGATTTCAGTTTTTGGTTTTTCAATTCTTAAAACCGAAACCAAACCATATTAATTCTGTTTTGGGATTCCTCAAACCACACCGAACCATATTTGAAATAAAACAGCACCACATTTATAATTCGGTTTGGTTCAGTTTTAAACCGCATTAATTTCACCCCTAGTTCCCCCAACCACTATAACCTCCCCTTCCCTTCCCCTATCCCCTGAAAACCATTCGCTCCTCTCCCCCAGCCTCTAATAACCATTCCCTCCTCTTTCCAGCCCTTAAAAACTATCCCCCTCCCTAATCTAGAAAACCGCCCCCTACGTCCCCTTCTCGAACTTAAAAAAGCCCTTGTACCATTTCCTTTCCCTAGACCCGAAACCACTTTCTTGCATTCGTGCTGTTTAGCGGGGGAGGGTTCTTGTAACACCCTACAAATTCCTTTCCTTTAAAATACCTACTTTGCCCTTTTAAAATACGAAATAGGAAAACCTAAGACATTACCGCCACCGTTAAAACGGCTAAGGCAAATATCAAAGACACACAACGGAAGATTATCTTTTAAAACCATTCAAAACAAGTCAACTTTAAAAGTCAAACTAAACGAAAGTAAAGTCAACCTACAACTTGGAATCATTGTAGGCCCTTAAAAACCAAACAATACTAAAAACAATTACGTTGTCTCATGAGCATAATAAATAAATAAATAATATTCAAAGCAAATAAAACACATCATATTCCTTTGGAAACTAAGCATGATTCGCTCTTCACTCATGCCCATCATGAAAATGCTTCATCACCTGAAAATCTTCTCTCTACTTATCCCCACTACTCGCCATTAGAAATGGGTCGTCGTAGGGCCAAGGTAAAGACAAGGCCAAACAAACATACAAACACACAATCAGCAATGCTGAGTGCATAAGCGTAACAAAAACAAACTAACATGCTTTCATCCTATCATCACACAACTTACCGTGTTGCACCTGTTTATAAGCATACAAGACATTAAACACTTAACTAGAAAAATACTAATGTCCATTTAATATGATTACACATCAAGCGGGTTTCCCCCTAACTTGCCCCAATAAAAGGGTACTAACACGGGAGCTAACCGTGCCAGTATAAAAGAAACCACTCGTAAGTGGCGGAATTCCTGCGCATAATAAAAAGGAATATACAGCGTCCTGTACTCCCGGTAGAAATTATGGTCAAATATAAAGTCACATAACTCCCCCCATATGTTCATACTCAAGGTATATACGTTCCAAGAGTTTTGGTGCGTAACCTCCTTCACTTTAGGTTATATACACATTATTAGACTTGGTGATGACTCTCAAAACATAGCACAATCAAACATTATAATTCATTCAAGCAATCAAACATACCAATTTTAAATTCTTGAATAATTAGTGACCACATAACTTTTAATAGTTGAACCCTTTTTTAATCTACCTCGGTGTCAAAGACACCTTAAACGCATAATGCGCCGCAAACCTTATCCCTCGGTGTTAAAAAAACCTTAAGTGCACATAGGCACCGCACTGTACTAAGACACTTGATAGCTCAATTCCCATGCTTAAAGCATCAATAAAGATTATATGAACCATAATAAAATTTCCTTTTCATATTCCAAACCAAATTAAACATTTAGTTTAATTAAACATGCTCTCAATCATGCCAATAATAAAAGTGTGGTTCATAATCAACATGCCAACATAATTAATTCCAATCACTAATTCATCATAAATAATTCATACATCACAAATCAATCATCAAC